CCGGGTTCAACTGTCCCCCTCTTACAATGCTGTGATTGCTGGTATCACTCAGCCCTCTGTGAACAGTAAACAGCCATCAGGTGCTAATGATCCATTGTTAGGCTGATGGTCCTTCTTGAGCATGTGATCAGCTGGTTCTGGATGTCAGCAGCAAACTGGTTGATCCACTCTGAGAAGGTGCTATTTAAGAGACTGAGCTGAATACAGCACCTCAGACTGAAGAAGTCCTTTTGGATAAAAGATGAAACGTTTTAACTTTTTTTTTTTTAATCCGTCCAGAGGACTTGACTTAACTTTGTTAGATTTTTATACCTGAATTATTAAGAAGCATCAGGAGATCAAGTAGATGTCAGTTCCTGCATTCTGGTGTATTTTTTTAACAGGTCGTTAAACATCTACATTTACCAACATTTGTAAACACTTGATTCAATAACTATTTTAGCGAGCAACAAGAAGTAGCCTGACCAACAGCTCTCCTTGTGTGAATAGAACACGCTCCTCTTCTCTCAAGTATCCTAGCCCCCCCACGTCGAAAACTGCCAGAACTAATGTAGCGCTAAGCTAGCGGCGCGCAATACAGATGTGTTAGCTAAGATGCTACAGACATTGCGCTCCACTTCTCTTGCACCTCTTAACCGCCACCCTCATCAACAACTGCCAGCACTAATGTGGCGCTAAGCTCACGTGCAAAACAGAGGTATCTAAACAGGGGTCCCCCCCCACCCCTGTGAGCGCCCTGCTAAGGCAGATGACCAAATAGAAACACCCTAGACAAATATATGTATATACTGTATGTCTGTGGGAAACTGCGTGCGGTGTGAAGTTGTTGTAGGTAACCAGGAAAACCTGGAGTGGACTTTCAGTGGGTTGGGTATTCTTCTATTAATCAAGTGGAATGGATTTGTTCACAAAGAAATAGAAACAGCGCTGGGTGAACTAATATTTCATGGTAAATGTGTGTGTGTGTGTGTGTGTGTGTGGGGGGGGGGGGGTCCCAAATGAATATCTTGTAAATGTGAGGGGGGGACACGTCCCCTTCACATATAATTGTTGCAACGCCTACGGGTAAGGGTTGTGTCAGGAAGGGCATCCAACGTAAAACACTTTTGCCAAAACTAATATTTGAGTTTATCTAAGTGACACCATACCGGATCGGTCGAGGCCCGGGTTATCAACGACCGCCACCTGTTGACAAACAGGGTGCAGGTGGAAACTGTGCTCCTGTTAGTCGAAGACCACAAGGAGGGAAACGTGTCAGGAGACAGAGGGAGAAGAGTAAAGTCAAGAATGTAGGACTGAGGGCTGCAACTCTAAATGTGGGGACAATGACAGGAAAAGGTAGAGAGCTGGCTGACATGATGCTGAGAAGGAAGGTAGATGTTTTGTGTGTCCAAGAGACCAAGTGGAAGGGGAGCAAGGCTCGCAGCATTGGAGCAGGGTTCAAACTGTTTTAACATGGTGTGGATAGAAAGAGAAATGGAGTAGAAGGAGGAGTTGGTAAAGAATGTAGTAGAGGTGAAAAGAGCTTAGCTTGGTTTCAAGCTGAGGTCAATTTTCTGAGCTTTTATCCTTATTTGCTCGTTTCAGTGTGATTTATATTAAATTACAAATGCTATGCTAATGTTAGTTTACATAAAACTAATATTATCTAATGCCTTTAGAACTATTAGCTAATATTAGCTTAACTTGGTTTCACATTTCGATAAACCTTCCCAGCTGTTGTTCTTATTATCCTTCAGAAATATGTGTGTGAAATTACAGCAGCTAAGCTGTTAGCACACCAAACATGCATGCTAATCATTAGCTTCACAGCTTGTAGCTTGGAATTGTTTACACAAAACTCATCAGTAAAATGTGTGAAAAGTAGCTAACGGTGGTGTTTTATGAGAGCTGTAGGTCGAACTGATTTGCTATAATAAAAATAATAAATTAGAATTGTTTATTGAGAAATCTTCCAGTTGTTCTAAACTAAACAAGCTCCTGTTTGTTTTCATTTTCTTTGGTTTCACTTCAGCTGGAGCTACCGCTAACTGCCGTCCACCGTCAGATCTGCTAATGCAGCCGCTAACCGAAGCCTTTTATGTTTTTCCAGGTATATCAGAGTGTGTGGCACATCGACGTAGAGAGTGCGTGCCACCAGGCGCTTCCCTCAGCCCATGGAAGTCCGCCTACATTAGACAGCATCGCATAGAAACCAACTGGAAGAAGGGCGACGAGCGGGAGCCCATGGTGCAGTTTAACGAAAACCAGAGTGTTTCTGATTTATGAACATAGACTGACTGTGAGCCATTCTCATTTTATAGGTGTTAAAAGGTCATGACGATCACGTCATCACCTGCCTCCAGTTCAGCGGCGACCTGATCGTCAGCGGCTCTGACGACAACACGCTCAAAGTCTGGTCAGCCATCACTGGAAAGGTACGAGATAACAGACGTAATGAACGAGGGGCCGTTCGTAAAGTTACACCGTCAAAAATTAACAGCAACATTTTGGTTTATTTAACCTATTAGAAAAAAATTGCTGTTTTTTTTTTAAAGTCGTATTTTCACAATATTATTCATACATTTATAAATTTCATAGTTCCAAACTAAATATTTAATTTACAAGTTAAGTATTTAGTTTACAAACTAAATACTTAATGTGCGACATTTGTAGCTACGTCACTAGCTTAGTTCCAACTGTGTTTGATGTGTGTGTGTGTGTGGGGGGGGCTAGGATGCTTGAGAGAAGTGGAGTGTGCTCTAGTCACACAAGGGGGGCTGTTGGTCAGGCTACTTCTTGTTGCTCTGTGAAATAGTTATTGAATCAAGTGTTTACTGATGTAGGTAAACGTAGATGTTTAACAACCTGTTAAAATACATCAGAATGCAGGAAATGGCATTTATTCAAAATTTTCTGGGGGAGGACCCCCAGACCACCCGGGGATTGACCTCAAGGTCAAAGGTTATACAAGGTGTTTTCTTGTCTGAGCCATTACTATAGATTCTGTAGAACTGTTTGTTGACGAGCGAGTTCTGTATGTAACTCTTGTTATCTTAACTGGAGCCTGCCATTATCAAAAGCGTACGAGGACATGCATCGTCTCAAATGCTTTTCATCGTAATTTGTCAAAATTTCCTCAAACCCCCGTGTGTCTGCGTGGAAAACGCTTCATAACCTGTTAAAACTGTAAACACTCTTTGAGCAACTTGATGAAAAGTCATTGTTGGAGGTCCCTCTATGATTAGTATTGTAGGTCAGTGTAATTCAAAATGGCCGACACAGCTAACTTGTCAAACACAGAAGTGGACAGAGCTCAGTGGTTTTCAGAGACGTTGATCTAATGGATGTGCTGCTGGCTGAGCGTAGCCTCCAGGTGAATGGACTGTGCTAACAGCTTGGTACAATTTCAAAATGGCCACCAAAGCTAACAGATAAAACTCGCCCGGCGTCGGAGACACTGAGCTGCAGTTTGGTGTGCGTGACGCGGCTCACGTGACAACCTCAGGTGTTCCTGGTATCGGTGGAGCATTCTTTAACCGGGCACACCTGCTTCACGGTTCTGTTCAGACCTGCCCCGGCGCTCGTCTCCTGACCCGTCAGAACCGTGAAGGAGTGTTGGCAGGTGAGGTTCTGTTGCTCGGAGCAGAAAAACAAACATCTGCAGCGTCCCGTAAAAACTGACGCCCGCCCGTTTGAGCAAACGCCGAGACGTGACGGCAGCGAGGAGGCCGCGGCGTCCTCCTCCGCAACAGTCGCCAAGGGAAAGTTTCTCCTGCCGTTGCCACGGCAACCCCCCGTGGGTCAAACGGCGTTCTTCCAGCGCGTCCGTCGCCTGCAGCTGTGAAAAGTGACGGTCGGCTCGCAGGTCTGAGAGGAACGTTTCCACGGAGACTAATCTGAGCCGCGCTCCGAGCGGGACGCCGAGCTTCCATCTTCTTTTCCCACGAGTCACTGCTTCACTTCCTGCAGGATCAATAAAGTCTCAAACTTCTATCATTCTGGAACATAAAACTTTAAAAACTCATGTTAAAGGTTGTTTGTGCTCATGTGAACCTGGAACTACCCCGTGGCTGAACTTATTGTTTTTAACTGAAGCGTCAAGTGTTTTTATTCACGTTTAATAGAAAAGAGGCACAAACTGAAACATAAATATGATGAAGACCAAAAAAATAACCGTTACTTTGTAAAAGTACTTTTTGAAATACTTCACAAATCAGCGTGTGTAAAAAACAACAACTCTAAGGTTTTGTTTTGTTGTTTGTTGTTGTTGTTTTCAAAATGTGAAGAATATCAATTTAACATTTTCCAGGAGTTTATTTTTCATCAAGCTTCATTAAGTTGATGAGTTTGTTTTTCAGCTAAAACTAAATTAACAGCTGGTTGTTTTTTAAATGAATGAATTTAAAACTTCTAAAACTAAAGAAGGAAGAAATTAATAAAAACACGTTTAAACTTTGACAATAATTGTAAAAACAGATGTTTATGTTTTTAATGATTTCTGCTGAAGATCTTTGATCTTCCACTGTTGCCATGGCGACCAGTAATTTTACATCAAAGATTATTTTATGAAGCTCTTTCTTATTGAACATTTTTAAATCCATCCAGACATGAAGAAACTGAATCTGTGATGTTCAAACTAAAACTTTATTTAAAAACAAAATGTTTCCACTAACGTCCTCTTGTCCCCATGTGTCTTCATGTGTGTCTCCATGTGTCTCCCATGTGTCTCTGTGTGTCTCCATGTGTGTCTCCGTGTGTCTCCGTGTGTCTCCATGTGTGTCTCCGTGTGTCTCCATATGTGTCTCCATGTGTGTCTCCGTGTGTCTCCATATGTGTCTCCGTGTGTCTCCATGTGTGTCTCCGTGTGTCTTCATGTGTCTCTCCGTGTGACTCCGTGTGTCTCCATGTGTGTCTCCATGTGTGTCTCCATGTGTGTCTCCGTGTGTCTCCATATGTGTCTCCGTGTGTCTCCGTGTGTCTCCATGTGCGTCTCCATGTGTCTCCATGTGCGTCTCCATGTGTGTCTCCGTGTGTCTCAGTGTCTGCGCACGCTGACAGGTCACACTGGCGGCGTGTGGTGCAGTCAGATGACCGTTGCCATGGTGATCAGTGGCTCCACCGACCGGACACTGCGCGTGTGGGACGCCGAGAGCGGGGAGTGCGTCCACACGCTGCACGGACACACGTCCACCGTGCGCTGCCTGCATCTCCACGGCAACAGGTAATGCAGTTTGTCTCCATGACAACCAGCAACACTCGACTCTTCACACCTGCCACTCGTCTCCATGGTAACCAGACGATGCAGTGATTTTGGTCCATCATTGATGATGTTCACACACGTACCAGTACTAGATACTTCCAAACCAAGTACAAGTACTTCTTCAGTTAGGGTACTTGCTGATACTTTCTTAGGGACACACCAAAACGTTTACGTCAAACTTCAGACGTCAGAGAAGCTAAGACGCACGCAGCCGTCTTCTGATTGGCTGATGCAGCTGTGATGTCACGCCTGTCCCCCTCAGGGTGGTGTCGGGCTCTCGGGACACGACGCTGCGAGTGTGGGACGTGTCGACGGGCCGCTGCGAGCACGTCCTGACGGGCCACGTGGCGGCGGTGCGCTGCGTTCAGTACGACGGGCGGCGCGTGGTGTCGGGCGGCTACGACTACATGGTGAAGGTGTGGGACCCGGAGACGGAGGTGTGTCTGCACACGCTGCAGGGACACACCAACAGAGTTTACTCTCTGCAGGTAGAAACACTCGAGCGGGTTCTGAACCGACACCATGTTTCAGCAGCTTTCAGCTCCTCCTCTGGTGTTGTCTCCGCAGTTTGACGGCGTGTTTGTGGTGAGCGGCTCGTTGGACACGTCCATCAGAGTCTGGGACGCAGAGACAGGTAGGAATATTAACGTCACTTATTTTAATTTAACGTGTGCCAATACAAACTGATAAAAACAAGTTAAACTTGTGTGACTGCCAGCACCAAACAGAACCTCATCTGTCCTCTTCAGGTGGGTGTCTTCAAACTCTGACCGGCCACCAGTCGCTGACGAGCGGCATGGAGCTTCGTGACAACATCCTGGTGTCCGGGAACGCCGACTCCACCGTGCGAGTGTGGGACATACGGACAGGACAGTGTCTCCACACGCTGCAAGGTGAGACGGGCAGAACGTCCAGCCGAAAGTAAAACTGTGCGTTTGTGATGTCGTCTAATCCACGATGTCAGTGGGTGAAAAGTAAAGAAAGGACGGGAGAATAAATGGCAGGCCGCTGTATAAATATACCGTATTTTTCAGACTA